TTCAGAATCTTGCTCTAAGGGCACAGCTATGAAAATTCTGAAGTCTGGAACAAACAACGTACGCATCCCCTCAAGGTCACGGTTTACAGAAAGTGCCCTACGAGTATACTTTATAACAATTATAAACCTAATAAGTTGAGAAGCATTTTCTGAACCAACAAATGTTGTAAATTATAGATCATGCCTGTAAAAATGGCGTGTACCTGCACATACAGAAATATATATATATATATTATTATATCGATATTTCGTTATTCTTTTCATTTAATTGAAACTTTCATAGCATCACTCCAGACTATGACTGCACAAACATTTATTCTGGCGCCTTATCTTACTGCGATAAGTTAATTTTTCTCACTTATTTTCTATCTTATTTTTGTTACTAATTTGACGGTAGATACATAGTCGTTTATTCTTGTTCTGTTTTCATAAACACGCCTATTAAAATATTTGCAAATTTCACGTCTCCTTTATTTCTTTTCCCTTATTTTTTTCCTTTCCTTCTTTAAACTCAATTCAATATTCTTCTCAATTACACAGAACCTGGTTTATTATTGGTAGTATTATCATTATTATTCTATTATTATGACTCTCCTTTCCCAAATATGACAAATATAATGCTAGCATTATTGAAACTTGTGTATTACTGCATTCTTCAAAAAACCCAAAATGTTTTCGTCACAATTATGTACCAATAAAATATTTGTGAATAATAATATTTCATGCCCAAATAAACGGTGAACGTTTAGTGTAGCTGAAGGAAGATCAGAGTAGGACTGATCAGTGTGTTTATAAAGCTTTCCATTATTCGCTTCAGTAACTGATTCAGACCTTAGCGGGTGCTATAGGATTCAGGAGAGATTATATTTTTTAGATGGCCTGGACGTTATTGGAAGTAATGTAAATATAAAGTTTAACTAAGTGAACAGCGACGGTTATAACTTAGCTTATTAGATGTGTAAAGTTCTTAGATTTAAATGTAATAGCAGAAGGGTATTAGATAACAACTTTCAAAAGCTTGAGACGCCTCTTTTGCATCGAGCTGAATGCTAAATTATTGTTTATTCTTTGATTTTTGTGTGTTACGAACTTCTTTTAAAAAACCATTTGTTGTCCGCCAAACTTTAGAGCATCATAGCACGAAACTTCACACAAGCCCAGAAATCATAGTTCTTTTAATGAATCTGGCTCAGGATAGCGTCACGTATTTTCTGCAACAGTTTGATGCCTTTTCCGCCAACATGGCGTCCATGAAAGCCAAGAGCGGGAACATCAAGTATGCACTTCGAAGAGTTTATTATAACCCCATAGCGTTTAAGACAACCAAATAAATTTCCCAGATAATGTACATTTTTATCATTGGAGGATCTGGCAAATAAAACGTTAATATAAAGGAATACGAAGTCACTCTGAAAGATTTTGGCTGAATTTTTCAAACCGGATGTCATCCTTAAACATTTAGGTGTATAAAAGGTATAATGACAGTTGTTTTTCTGATTTTCTCTTATGCCATCGGGATTCAATGGTATGATCTTACGAGGTCCTGCCCAGAAAAGATACGTTTCCCATGTAATGTCAAAGATAGGTTTCGTAAATTAAGAATCAGATATCTATCTGGGACTGACTGACCATTTGAACGATGTTAATAATGACAGTAACAATCATCGCACAGGTGCCATTTATAGTCCTTACTGGGCACTATGTGTAGTGAAGAAACCTATGGGCTTCTGGATTGTTGTATCATTCCCAACTCCATCGTGTGTTTGAATACCCGTTTTGCAATCTTTATTTTGTCTTGGGGTAACCTAAGAGAGCACGCATAAATCGATATTCGGTCCGTCTTTTAATCAACTTTTATGATACTATCATACTCGGATAAGAAATCAACTAAGAGATTTGTCGCTTTCACAACGTGAATACTGTAAATCTCATTACTGGTAGCTGTACCTCTTACCAATAGACGAGTGTTCACATCAATAAGTTTCCTTTCGTTAAGGTATATCGGCAAGTTCCAAGAGCTGAGAAAGTCAGCCACAAGAATCCGTATTTTTACTTTCAGTACTATCAAAATCTGTGAAGGACGTCAGATAACTCCTAGGTCTAATATAAAGGACAGCTAAAATAATATCCTTCGTGTGCAGGAGATGATTTGTCGAATGTACAGAAAAATTCGTCTCCATTGTTGTCTAGTTGGTACATTTCCCGAAATGCCTCAATCTGTGGACGTAAACCTGCCCAACCTTGTACATTTCCGTGCCTTGGTACTACAGTTCTTGTGGTACCAATAGATTCCCACAGCTGCTTCTGAAGATCCTGACCCAGACCCGTCGAATGACAAATTTGAAAAAACCGCGTGCTTTGGGTATCAATATTGAATATTGTTGCTCGTAATTGCATAAACATCCCCACAGACGAAAACTAAAATCCACTCAGCTCTCCTGAAAGCTCTGAATTTGTGACAATCGTAACATAAGAATGTTTAAAAGATATGATAAAGACGCACCATATCTCTTGTAATCCTCTTTACCCAAATATAAGACTATTATATTTCCGTCCTAAACCATATCAAAGAAGACATCGATGTAGAACGGAACATGGGAAAGATAAATTTGCGCAAACTTTTCTGTCAACAGAAAAACTGAATTGTGATGTGTACCGCTGAAACCTATTCTGCCAATACATTTGTGATTACAAATTCCTCTAACTGCAGATCGCGTGCGTATCTTTTAGCAGGGTCATTGTATTTTGACTCCTCTAAAGTCGAAATAATTAAACTAGGAAACGGTTTAGCCTCTTTGAAAGCCGTATTCACGGCTATCGGCCGTGATATCAGATCCCGCCTGTTAACTGCTGTCAGCTAACGTGGGAGTCGAGCGCATGACTCACAACACTGTTTGATGAGAAATTAATTGAGGACTTTGGCGGAGTAATCTGACACGCAGAATATGAGTCCACCAAGAACGTTTCAACTAAGCAGTGCTAGTTCTGGCTATCTTTCCTACTCTTCTACGTTTCCGCAACATCCATTTCCCACTAGTCACTGCATCCACATTAGAACAACTAGGAACGGTAATGATTTTATCTGGATCATCGGTAGCTGCTGTAGTAACTTGGACACCGATATCTAATTGACTAAAAATATTAACACAAAGTGGATATGTAAAAAACTAAAACACTAACTAAATAAAGTCAAAGCCGATCAAGTATGCTTTGATGCAATGAATGCACAAAGGCAAGACCGAAACACACAATTACAAGATCACTTTTACTGAAATAAATTCAATTAAAAATTAGACAGTAGTCTTGATGGGTAGTTTATGGTCGAAACGGTAAATTTAACGAGAAACAATACCACTGTCCTTTTTAAATAGCGCGCGTCGTATTCTGAGCTTGACAGTACTTGTACACGTAACACCATTATAATCGAAGGATACCAGAACAATCAAATCAGAAGTCATAAATGAAGTGGTCCGGAGAAATATTTATTAGGCTACTGATATTTTGAGAAGCGTTCAGTCTATGGTGGCTATTATTTTCAAGGGACCCGTAGCACGGCGTACCGAATAATTATTCAGTGAGGATTCGTGACAAAGAGCTTCCAGCTAGAGTGTGTCCAGCAAAACTAGTTGGGTCAGCATCAATGTCGTAGACTTGCTGAACTATATATTTAGGGGGTTTACCGCTACAGATTGCTCTAAGCGTTCAAGCTCAACATTTCCTGTTGTTAACTAGTTTGTTTTCGTCTCTCAGTTTCTAGCGGTAGAATCGCAAGAATTATACTTATCACACTTGAAATGGTCCTTTATTAGTCAAACGTAGACTCCAAGTAACGAAAATTTCACCACGTCCGCTCAGTAAAGTTTGAAGCTTGAAATCTGGCGCTTATACAAAGTTGTACGTCCCATCTTCTTTGTCATGGCCATGTTGGATATAACTGGTTTTGAAGCTGTGAATAGTCTAGGAAAAGATCCTGAAACAAGAAATGTGTGTACTCATCTTTCGGAGGTTGATCTTTATCGGAGTCGAAAAACTGAGGTATTAGATTTGGCTTACTATAAGGGTCTTAGAACTACCTACAACCAATAGAATATGGGATACAGTGCAAAGAAACGAAGATTAATTTTTTACACGGTACCACTACTCTTGCACTCAAATACTCTGGTGGCGTCATCGTTGCAACAGACTCGCGTGCAACAGCTGGGCCATATATTGGTAAGTTTTCTGATACTCTCAATTCACTGTCTAGCCTCTGGTACTACTAAGAAAATAATCGAGATCAACAAGTATCTCCTTGGAACCATGGCTGGAGGTGCTGCGGACTGCCAATTCTGGGAGCGCGTTTTGGCTAAGCATTGCAGGTGATGCCTAAAACTTCATGCTTATATTTTTTTTAGGTTGTTTGAGCTACGAAATAAAGAAAGGATATCCGTCGCCGCTGCGTCAAAGTTGTTGGCAAATATGGTCTACAATTACAAAGGAATGGGTCTCAGTATTGGTACGACTATTGTTGGTTGGGACAAAAATGGACCTGGTATATATTATGTTGATACTGATGGTAACAGAACCCCTGGAAACCTGTTTTCTGTGGGATCGGGAAGTCCCTATGCCTATGGTGTTTTAGATACTGGTTATAAATATGAAATGAATGATGAAGATGCGTATGAACTTGCTAGGCGGTCAATATTTCATGCAACACATCGCGATGCAGCGTCTGGTGGATTTGTTAACCGTATGTTTTTTCTTTAACTTATAAATTTTTTTTGCAGTGTATCACATGAAAGAAGATGGTTGGAAGTTTATTGGGATCTATGATGTTGGAGAACTCTACTACAAATATATGTCAAAATAAACTTTGATACAATAATAAAGACTTTTCATTCTTGTTTTGTCTTCTAAATTGTAAACAAATTCTATTCTTTGTTTTAGAATATCAGAAGACTGTTCAGCATCCGGTTTCTTACAGAAACTCATAATCTTATTATATTTCGAGGAAGGTGGTACTTGGTTTTGTATTTTGCTGCTTTAATATGGGTGTGTGAATATCTTGTTTATTACTTCACATTATGCAGTTGTAATTGGCCCGACCTACCCAATGCTAGTGTGAAAAACATACAAAATCCCGACACTGCGGTTGTCAATTTAATGGTACTTGCAGACACACATCTTGTCGGATACGTTCTAGGTCACCCTATTGACCGCATTAGAAGGTTTGAATCGTTTATTATCTTTACAAATATTTACGTGGCCCCCGTAGTTGGTTTTGTTGCATGACTTAGAATTAAATGTCAGACTTTTTATATTTAAGATTCTTTGATAAGCGAGTAGATTTTGACCAATATCAGGAGTTTAAAGTACTTGATAACTTAAAGTAATATAATATCATATACTAGGTATGAGTGTCCATAAGTTCATCAACATCTTTCAATCGAACTGGCTTGTTGGAATGCCAATAAACTTTGTAGTTTACTTGCGATAACTTCGACGGAACGATGGAATATACATTAGTCAACAAAACATCCTTCTGCAATAGCTAGCGATATTGCCCCGCCCATCTTAGCTTTAGGAAACACGATTGTATTTTATTTATTTGTTGGAATTGCTGCACATCAACTAAGAAACTCCAGGGTCGTCCTGTCAGGATTGGTACGATCCAACTGTCGTGTACGTAAATCGGGACAAGACCGTCAATTGGAAGAGGAATTATCTTAGATTAGTCTCGGTCATACCAAAATCCAGTTTGTCTCTTCCTCTTATACCATCTGGTATTTGATCAAACAACGAGTAATTCATTAAAATGGCTTTAAAAAGTGATGATAATCAATCCTTAGTAGAACTCATCTAGTTATACATGCGGTCCGCAGAACAATGATCAAAATCAACGACAGTAAACAATCGTGGTTTCGATCAACTGCCAGAAAACTCGACTCTGAAAGTTTAAAAAAGTGTAGCTTCCTTGGGACGGCTTCTGAAATAGAGCTGTTGGGAAGGGTTGCTCATAAGAACTATCCTAACTACTGTAATCATCAAAACATCCCAACTTACTATATATTAATAAGCATCTATTCCAGAATATTATCAATGATGTCGTTTGTGATTGTAGGTCCTAAGATTGTGACAAAGTGGTATTATACAGAGTTTCAATCCTAGTTATCACCATTTCAATAAGCCTCTTTATTACTCTAGACATGATATTTTATTCTGTCAACAGCTATCTGTAATACTTTCGTAAACTTTGCAGATCTGTGTGACGGCGTGGTTAATGTGAAATGGTAAAGCTTATCGAAATTCTCATAAAAAACATTTTAATTTAGCGTATTTCTTACAAAATTACTATGAAACGTAACTTTCATAGTTCACAAATGATGTTCATAACACAGTTTTTCTGTGTTTACGCAAACAAGCTGTATTGTGTAATAACTAACATACGGTTCCGCATTCTGAATCTAAGGTTTTTTCTGTGACTCGTAACTCATTAATTGGAGTTTGGGCTTTGAAACCAGATTTATGTTTTTGAATGTTTCCACTACTTTTATCAGACCATCATATCAAGATAAAGCTGATTGTCTTATCACAGTCACCACTCATTAGAACATCACAACATTTAACTTTTCGTACTACTGTGCAAATAATGTAAATATTAAGTATGTATATGTTCAGTTTTGCCTTTCAAAATTGTAGACTGCTTAAGAGCTATCTATAACAGGGTAACATTCATTATTAGTTATTATCTCTGATACCTGGAATTACTACATGTTCACTTACCGAAGGTATACGAAACTATGTACATATAAGGTTGTAAGTATATAACGAATGGTGGAGGTACTTCGCCGTTATGTAAATATCTTGGATCATCCGTGACAGAAAACCAATATTGTACATTTCTGTTGAAACAGTAATTTAGAAGTAATTCCCAAAATTCAAATATCTGTCCTCAATGTGTATCATGCACTGACCAAGTTATTTCACAATTGGACTCAACACCACATCGTCCTATGTGCTCCTCTCATTTACACCAAAATGTGCACATCCATAACTATTCAGAACTTTGAGATTCATATTTATTCGTAAAATTTTCATTTTTTAGATCATTCAGAGTACTGACGTATCTGGTAGGCGTATCTAGTCCAAAGAAAATATATTTTATCAGTAATGTTAACATGTTACTCAGACTACGTCAACTTTTGAGTTTTCACTTAAAATTCTCATACCCCATTGTTATGGGAAAAATATTCACTGACAACCTACAATTTGTTTACTTGACTTTCAACTATTAAATCACTGGTCGAAGTACCATTTGATTTACCAAAGTTTAGGCAATTGGATAATATAATTGGTCTTCACCCATCAGGTATGTCTAGCAGATTATTACGTAACTACTGAGATATTTCTTTGAAAAGTATACAAAAGTACAATATGCGTCTCTTTCACATCTCAAGTTTAAAATGTAGTGACTTATGATGGGTGATTAAAATAGTAACAGACAAACTTCATTAACAGTCAACATCTTGGATGCTATCTATTTAATATTTTTAATCATATATTTAAGTTACAAAATGATCGTACTACCCATCTCAGACATCTGTACTAAGCAATCAATTTCTAATCTAGTCACTGAAGTTTTCGATACCAAATTTAATCACAAAATTGGTTGTTAAATAATTATTTCTACCGAAACACTACTTATACTAAAGCACAGGGACTAAAGATGTTCTTAGTTTTTCCTGAGAGTACTATAGAGGTAAAAAAAAATACTTCTTTTAGTAGATGAAGAATTATCCATCTTCAATCACTAAACATCTATGAGTTAGTTAAGCATCATTGTTGGTTCACTGTACAGGATTTATAGACTTTTGACTATCTACGACATACTTTTGCAGAACAATCTCATCAAACTAATAAAAATAAAAGAATTGCCCATGAATTATCTGTTTATTATTGTAACAAAACATTAAATAGGATATTGTAATGAAACTCTATGATGCTGAATCAATATTCAGTGTTTGTATTTCGCCTTTACGATTCCAGGGATTGGCAAATGAAGCGTGCTTTCCAAGCTTCCTTATATTTACATAGTCCTAATGCCGTTATAATATTAGGAGATATTTTGGATGAAGGGAAATGGGCTACAAATGATGATTTCAGCTATTTGGTGGAAAGATTTCGCGATATTTTTCATCATGATAAAACGAAAACATTAGTTAAAACCGTTGTTGGGAATCATGATATTGGATTTCATTATGCGTGCGTCTTTTTTCTTAATTAATTGTTATGCAAAGCTTTTTTGTTTGCAAATATTTCTTATCGCATCGTATGTAAGGTTAGTTACAATTCTTGTCAGTTGTGTAGCCACTGTTTTAACTCCAATGCACCCTGTATTCAAACAATCAATCCCTTTAATTTTTTGTTGGTATGAAAATACCAGGAATATGACAGCATCAAACAATACCGACTTCTAGATTTGCTTCTACCTTGCTTATACTAAAGATAAACAAAGGAACAGACGATAATCTTTATTTATTTGTTTATTTGAACACATAAATATTGATACAAAGGGCCACCGAATATATATGCGTTGCACAAGTCGCTTGATTTATGTGTGAGCTGTGATACTGCCCGGGTGCCCAAACCGAAGCAGATGACCTTCTGAGAAGGCTACACCCAGAGCCTTCGACCTGAAGGTCTAATCCACATGGCAATGGAGCAACTTTAGGAGATGCAGTCCCATGGTAGCCGATGACCAACAATTGGTTCATACGCTCTTTCTTCCTTCAGGATATTAGAGCCCATGTGCACCATTGGTTTGGAATGAGGGTTTTCCAACTCCCCTAGATGGACTCATCGTGCCAACCTGCCCGGTTAAATTGCCAGACATTTGGTTTTGGTCTTCTAAATTTCATAAACAACACCCGTGCTGCGAGAAGGTAGTGAGTGGGAATTCTGTGGTAGCGGCTGTATACGCGTGGCCATTTGAGAGCATTTCGAGAGGAAGAGCGGGTTCTCCATTCACGACCATATCAGGGCATTTGGGAGCACAAGATGACAATGGTTGCGAGGTAAGGTATATTTGATTTTATCAGATATATAGAGAAAATAAAACTTATAAAATAGCTATTTATGGTAGGAGAAGCATTTCACGTCAAACTGTGCCATAATTTGATGATAACACTTGGCCAAGATCCTTCAGCTGGTACTGTCCACCTGAACTAATAAGTTCAGAATCGATGCCGAATGCTTACCTCTTCAGACGCCTCAGGCGATTTTAATCGTCTTAAAATATGTGGTAACTCAGTTGAAGAAAATTTGAATACCAATTAAACTTTAAACATTTCCTATGATTTTACTAGCTTATCTCACACAATTTGTATTTCTGTGTGATTTCAAATTTACTGCTGCTGTGTCAACGTAGAATTTGATCAAGATGGTAAGAAATTTCGTTTTCTTATTTAGCACTAACGAGTTTTTGAATAATCGATTTCACCGGGATGTTGGAGACAATATTTATACACCGCCTATTTATCTGTGGTCTTTCTTTGGCATCCATTTCGTTATTGCAAACAGTATCGCTTTTGAAGGTGACAATTGTGATTTATGTTTTGAAGCCAATTTCATATTGAAGTCGATCGCGAGATATCTTGATTGTTTGAAGATATCTACTCCATCTAATACCAAGAGTTGTTATTCCAAGGAACTTGGTATGGGCCTTTCTGACAAATTCCCATACATTGATGTTGACCTTAATGGTAGGTTAACACGAACTTATCACTTATGATTTAAATAGTTTGGATTATGAAGCGTACACCTCTTTAAAGATATCATTCAATTATAAAGTTCATTTTGAGTCTATCTGAAAGCAGTTTTACATTACTTTTGTTTCTAAACTTACCATTTTAAAATACTCATCATTAGTTTGCTATGAAAAGGCTTTCCGATTGTTCATTACTTCTGGATTTTCTGTGGTTAAGCTTAAATCACTATAAATTTTTAGTTATTGAAAATGTATTCACCATATAAGATCATCTGTCGATCCTTACAATCCAGTGGCAGTTTTTGTCTTCGATTTACTTATATTTATTCTGTGCACGACTTTCTGACCAGAGCACTTATCTATGCCTGTTACCCCTCGTGAAGAAGCATGGGTCGCCCACCAGCATACTTCATAGAATTCTGTCCTGGACAATCCTTTCCAGTAGTTTCCAGTTGTTATTCATCATTTTCATATCTGCTTCTAACTTACGGCGCAGTGTGTTCTTTAGTCTTCCTCTTTTCTGTTTCCCTTTAGGGTCTAAGTTAGCACTTGTTTCGTGATTCCGTTTGATGATTTTCACAACGTATGTCCTACCCACTTCCATAATCTTTTCTTAATTTCTTCTTGTTTGCTGTTTTGAGTTCCAGATCTTTTTCAACTGTAGAAATGTCGCTCTCGCTTTGTCAATCCTAACCTTTACATCTACATCGGATCCTCCTTGTTTACAGATGATGCTGTCCACCTGTTCCAGAGCTCCTTCATCAAGTATGATTGGTTTGGTGTTCTCTGTGTTGATTTTCAATGTCTTGCTATTTCCCTTGTATGTTGAGGTCTACTGATGCAGAGGCTTCTGCTACACTGGCTGTCTTCACCTGAATTTGTTCGTCTGTATGAGATAGAAGGGCTATGTCGTCTGCGAAATCCGAATCGTCTGGCTGCATCCAAGCTGTCTATTGTATTCCATGCTTACTCCATATATAAAGGTCTTCATAATCCAGTTGACCACCAGAAGAAATAGAAAGGGGAGACTAAGCATACTTTTCTGACCGTAGTCCTCAATTGGAATGCATCTATCACCTTTCCTCAATACACAACTTTGCAGTGAAGTTCGTCGTATGGATTCCGAATGATGTTAACGATCCCCTCAGGTACACCATAGTGTCGAAAAAGAGTCCATAAGGTTCTCCTATCCATGCTGTCAAATGCTTTCTCGTAGTCATGGAAGCTGATATATAGTGACGAGTTCCATTCAATTGATTGTTCAACGATGATCCGTAGTGCTGTAACTTGGTCTCTGCACGACTGATCCTTAAGGAATCCGGGATGTTGGTCTCGAAGCTGGTAGGCGTCGACTGAATCTTTCATTCGACTCAACAACACTGTTGAAAGCGTTCACTGGTGCCTATAGTAGTGTGATGCCTCCACAGCTGAGTTCTCATACTCGCTGAGATCTTTATTGATTTATTGACGATGTACTTTTTCCGGTCTGTTATCGTTTGTTCTTCCTCCCATATCTTTCTGAATAGAACGTGGAGTATCTTTAGAGTCATCTTTCTGTCTGACTTCAGTTCTTCATGTGGTATGTCGTCAGGACCTGCAGTTTTCCTACTCTTCGTTTGTCTGATGCCCATCCTGATTTATTCGATTGTTCATGTGATGACATCTATAGAAAGGTCCATGTGTGCTGCCTCGATGGCCGGTGGGTCCAGTGAAGCTGGCCTATTCAAGAGTTCCTCGGAGTATTCTACACATCTGTCCCTCTATTCTTGAATCTCAGTGATTGTCTTGCTTTCTTTGTCCTTGACTGGTGTCTTTGGTTTACTATATCCCTATGCTAGTTTCTTCGTTGTTTCATATAGTACAGTACTGTTTCATATTTCCCTCTTTTGCAGCTTCTTCCACTCGCTACTAGGTCGGCTCTGATGATCCTCATCACTTGCTTGTTTGCTTCTGTGTATTCAGTTTGTGCTTTGACTTTCTCTGCTCGTGTTCGGCTGTTGTTAATCGCTGTCTTCTTTTTCTTCCTTTCTTGAATCCTGTCCAGGGTTTCGATAAATATCCATTCTTTATTATGTTTCTTGCTACCCAAAACCTCCTGACACGTTGAAATTAGTGCTTCTTTGATCCTTTTCCAGTTGTCCTCCATAGTATTGTTTTCTTCCAGTAGATCCTGTAAGTCTTGGGACCTGTTGTTGAGATTTATCTTGAGTCCGTTGAGTTTGTTATTATCTCACAGGAAAGCTGTATTGAACCTTTGTAATGCTGTTTCCCCAAATGTCCAGTGTTTCTTTAGCTTTAGTTTCATCTTGGCCACATCCAGGTGGTGATCTGAGGCTATTTCAGCTCCTCTCCTGGTTCTCACGTCTTCCATCGTCCTTCTGATTTTTTTAGTGATGCATATATGATCGGTCTGGTTCCCTGTAGTGTGATCCCGTGAGACCCGTGTAGTTTTGTGTATATGCTTGTTGGGGAATATCGTTCCACCTATAACCGCTTTGCTGAATACATGTAGATTTGCAGATCTCTCACCATTCTCGTTTCTTTCTCCCAGTCAGTCCATGTCGTCCTATGGTATCTTCATACATAGTGTTGTCCATTCCGACTTTGGCATTTAGGTCTTCCATCAGGATGGTCAGGTCCTTTCCTGAGCACTTCACTATGGTTGATTGCAACCTCTCGTAAAACTGATCTTTATCGTCGTCGTTGTTATCATTGGTGGGTGCCTAACATTGGATAAGATTCATTATGATTCCCTGTTTTTTGTTTTGAAGGATGCTTTGACGACCCTGGGTCCATGAGATTCCCACTCAATATGTGCACTTCATGCTTCTTTGAACAACATCAGAACAACTCCCTGAGTGTGTGGAGCATTTCGTTCTTCGTGACCAGAGTACAGCAGCATCTCTCCCAAATTTATCCTTTTATTTCCAGCTTGAGCACAATAGGTTCCATTGATTCCTAGCATTGCTTAGTTGTATCTCCTCATTTCCGTAGCTATTTGATTGATCTTCCCGGTTTCCCACATTGTCCGAACATTCCATGTACCTATATTAATTGTTACCATAATTGTTAGAAGGGGAATCGGTCTCATGATTTTCTAAGAATCTCGGCTTTGACCATGAGCCACCATAATTCTTCTGAATGAAGATCCCACAACTCTAATGGCCGGGCTTCAACGGTTTACGTGACTTTTTTCTGGTCAGCTTTTTTTAACAAGGTCGTTTTCTATGGGACGTGTTTGCTGACTCCATGCTTAATTCCACTCTACTTCTGGGTTTGGAACCGGCAATTCCCCTAGAAGGGCTACAGGCGCAATTGACGAGAGCGGAGTGCTTGTTTTATTTTCCAGGTTTTTAAGAGGATATTATACAATAATTTTTGATTTCACTCGTTCACCGGTACTTTAGTATGAACTTGTTCAACTTAAAAGCCATATCAATAATTTTATCCAGATCTCTCAATAAATCACCTCATCAAAATACTATATGCCTTCTTGACAAACATAACTGTAGATCATTCAATTTTTTTTAGTTATTTTCATTTGTAGTTACATATTTAACGCTGCAAACTTTTGTTTTGAAAAGGGATAGGCCAAGGAAATAAGTTTTAAACTAATCCATATTTATTATCATAGGTAACATGAACGTATCAAAATGTTGGTCAGGCAAATGCAACACAAAACATGGCACATGTGTCCATCAGTTCGAGTTGCCACACTTCACATAAGAATAGCGAAAGTAAATTACCAAAGTTTAAATCAGAAGAGTAAAACTACTATTCATAATATCGTTGGTAAAAACTAAAAACAGATACTATGGTTTAGTAAAGAAGGTATACTATCGAATAGTAAAATATCCAAAATAATATTCAGGCTAAAGAAATGGTAAAAGAATATATATATATATATATATATATATATATATATATATATATATATATATATATATAGACTACTGCGACAGACTTCTATTCGTGTCACCTGAGCTATTCAACAATTGATTGCGTTTATCTCACAGACACTAACCAATGAGTCTACTCTTGTCGACATGTCTTAGTCCAACAGTCGGTGGTTTTATGGACTCCTACTAAGTCTCAGTTTGACACTTGTTAGTCTTTATTAATATTACTTTTACACTGGCCAATGTAGTAATGCCCACGAATAAACGGTGTATTTTTACTTGTAACATATGTCATCACATCAGTAGATAAAGGAGT